TTAATAAGTTAGTAAACCAAAATCTGCAAATTATTACTACAAACTCTGTTACTATATTCACGAATTACTTAAAAACCATCTAAACTATATTAAAACACGAAAATGCATTAAAAACCATGGTTATTCCGCACGGGTAGGTACCACCACCCTGCCTATTTCTGCCCTGAAGCAGTAAAGCGTTTCGGTTTGAAGTGTGGGGCAGCCGTTGTATTTATACTGAGACCTTAGAGCTCCGGTAACTCCTTAACCTCCTAACTAACCTCCATTTAAGCAATAAATAAATAAAAGATTGATCTCGGAAAAATATCATGAATATGTAACTGTCCCGGTATATTTCGCTCCTCTGAACAATCTATCAACAACTTGGACGCGAAGTAAACTAAAACATACGGTTTTTAGTGTAGAATTTCAGTTCACGGCTCACTTGTTGTTGAAAGAATACCAGATACCACAGCATCAATACTGCCAACTGCATTGGCCTACGCATATAGTTTAAAGTTAGAAGTTACCTTCAAAAGCGCTGATTACTTCAAAACAGAATGTTAGTACCAATATTCAAACAATGTAAATATAAATCTCGAAATACTTTATTAATGATATCTACTGTCAATAGTTTGAAACGACTGTTATACTTACATAATCGTATAAATATTTGTAAATACAAACATAATGTTATTTAACCTTTGAACTGTGCTTTGTTTCTGTATCCAGAACATATCATAAATACGTTTTTACTACATGGCAGCAGAAATTCTTTGTTTACAAGTGAAATGAAGGGAAGAAGAATCAAGAAAAATCATTGGGCTTTTGGAAATGTCTACTTTTTTTTTGTTCCTACCTTAGCTGATAGTCTTGAGAGACCATTTCAGCGTAGCCTTAACAAGTAGGTGAGCTCACGGGGCTCAAACCTGACATCGTTGCCAACACTGACCCTAGCAAGAGCAGAGCTTCGTAGAATCTACCACCGGATCGGAAACGCGACCCACTGAGAATAGATCCGACGAGAAACTCAGTGAGCTGTATTTGTGAGTTATTTTACTCGCCGAGCCCTTCGTCGCAAGCGACGGGTTCGACGAGAACGATGACCGGGAAATGTCTACATAAATAATACCTTGATTTTATATTTGTTGAATATAGGAGTTAACAGTTCATAAAATCATAAGCGAGTTCGTAAATGACTTACAGAAATTATGATTGACTCTGTAGTGCATTAGTTACCAGCCCTAATTGATAGGCCGTGAGTTCGATTTCCACATCGGGCAAACATTCGTGTGATGAACAGGTCTGTTTGAAGTAGTTTGAACCAAACCAATGCGTCTACAATATTTATTTGTTTTTTTTTTTTTTTTTATTTGTGTTATATTTGTATATTGATTTGTTTAAAAGTAATTAAGAATTAGATGAAATTTTCCTATGAGCATCGGAATTTAGACTAGTGTAGCGGTTGCAAACTAAGCGTGCGCAAAAACAAAACATATCATAATGTTTTTGATTTTTGCGAAGATAACGTCCGACAGTTGCGATGAAAAATAAAATTTCAATAATAAAGATCACCCGAATCACGAGAGGCAGAATCCGTCTTCCTTCCTTGTACACTGCTGGCTACTACCAAAATGATGAGCTTATTTGTGGTTAGCAAAACCACTATCTTGGTTATGTACCCATTCGTACCAAGTTATCTGAAAGAGGCCACTAATAGAGTTGGCGAGCGACTGAAGAGCTATCCCTCTGGGAGCCGTGCTTTTTGGTCGCTCGCCAAAGCCGCAGAAGGAAACTTTTGCAGGTCTAGTCTCCCACCACTGCGAAAGTCCGATGACAGTCTGGCCCATAGCGCGAAAGAGAAGGCTGACCTTCTGGTCAAACTCTTCGCCTCGAACTCGACCGTGGACGACGGGGGTGCCACACCACCGAACATCCCCCGGTGTGATAGTTCCCTGCCGGAGATCTGCTTTACACAGTGTGCAGTCAGGCGGGAACTCCGACTCCTGGACGTCCATAAGTCGAGTGGGCCAGACGGCATCCCCGCAGTGGTTCTGAAAACGTGCGCCCCTGAGCTGACGCCTGCGCTAACGCGTCTGTATCGCCTCTCTTATTGCGCTAACAGGGTTCCGTCTTCATGGAAGACCGCCCACGTCCACCNTAGTGGTTGTGATGACCGTGGGCTGCAAACGATATTTAACAACAGGTGTGTCACTAGATCATGTTATATCTACAGAAATAAAAACAACCAGAGGACACAAGAGATGGAAGAGAAAAAGCACCGAGCAAAAAATTCAAGATTTGTCATTAGTAATAACACAGGCCATGTTTATATGGAAGCTGACTGGTGGTAGGACCTCTTGTGAGTCCGCACGGGTAGGTACCACCACCCCGCCTATTTCTGCCGTGAAGCAGTAATGCGTTTCGGTTTGAAGGGTGGGGTAGCCGTTGTAACTATACTGAGACCTTAGAACTTATATCTCAAGGTGGGTGGCGCATTTACATTGTAGATGTCTATGGGCTCCAGTAACCACTTAACACCAGGTGTGCTGTGAGCTCGTCCACCCATCTAAGCAATAAAAAAAAAGCTATGGTCAATTTGCAAGGTCCAGATAAAACAGAAATAATATGTAGGTTGTTAGCTATAAAACTCTCGATACTTCAGGAACTCGGCATCAAGCAGCGTCTATTTGCTATAGCACAGTCTCGAGTGGTGGATTTCTTCGGACACGTTTCGCGACGAGATGGCCGGTCCATAGAACACCTCGTTGTACAGGGAAGGGTTGACGGTACAAGACCGCGCGGAAGGTCACCAATGCGGTGGACCGACCAAATTAAAACTGCAGTGGGAGGTCCACTAAATGAGTGCAGTAGAATGGCCTTGAGCAGGGAGAGATGGCGTGAGACGCATCAAGTCTGCCTCTTCCAACACTACATAACGATCACGACCACTCCGTCAAGAGTGACACGATTGAGAAGAAAGCTATAAAACAGAAAAAATGTCGCACACTCTTCAAGCGTATAAAGCCATCAAATCTGGCAGATGTCTTAGTATTTTTTGTGACTCCACCCTTGGCACGTTTGACTTTTTGTCTGTCCCTTCATCCTGAAGTGTCGACTTCAATTAGTTTCCCATTGTAGCATTGTAAGATCGTCTATGGTCAGCGGTCTATCTTTTTTTTTCCTGATTTGTGTATACACGAATTGGCTATGGATGATTTCTGCGTTTTGTTAACAGTGACACGGTTATTGTTAGCGTGTCCCTTTATCGCGTCAAGTATTGTGACGTGACAATTTGAGAATTTCACTCGGACAATGTTATATAGTTTTTAAGGAATTTATGTTACGCAATTTGCTTTCTGTCGATTCAAAGCAATTATATAGCCGACTTAACCTAATAGGTGTATGGCTCTAAAAAAGAAAAAAAAAAAAAAAAAAAAAATTATTAAGTAACACTGATTATTGGGATAATTGAAATTTTAGCTTTGATTTTTACCATTTTACCATTTCTTGTTTAAAATATCTATTATCTATTTATCTGTCCATAATAAGGGAAAAAACAGCCGTTTTCTATTGTCTAACCAACGGGACCACGTAAAGCGCAGCGTTATGGTGTTTCTATTTATAGTGGCCTCTTAGAACGTCATTCAGTGGACAGCGTCGGTCCATTTAACATAAACGTGTATGCTTCACCTTAATAATGCTCTTGGTATGTCAGTTAAAATACGTGCTTTAAAATAGAAACGAAAATTCTCTCTCATTTGAGATAAGAATTGTTTCATCTCTAGTTTTATAATACAATAGTTTCTTATCCAGCTTTGCATTTAATCTGATTAACAACATAGTTCAGATTTTATGGACTAATGAAAAAAATTCGTTGTCTAGACTACTGTCGCTACACTGAAAATTCTCCCTATCTCGCATTTTTGTCGATGTGAACAATTCTTTAAAATGTTTGTACGGTTTCTCTTCTTTAAAACATATTGAAAGTATTGTTGTAGTCAACATGGTCCAAGAAATGACATTATTTAAAAAAAAAAGCAATAATTTTTTGTGCTATATTTTAACAATTGAACATATGAAATGGAAGTTTTCTATTTAATATATCTATAGACTATATCACGTGCACATATACATAAACAAATCAAATTAACATTTTATGACGGCATCGCGTAAATAATTTTTTTCATTAAACTGCAGAGTTATAAATTTGCAATGAATGAATAATCTTGATCTATAAGCAATGATTAGCGTCAATTTTTGGAACTTTTTCTCAAAACTCTTATTGTAGCCTACAATGATAGTATTTCTCTAATTAAAACTTAACAATCGTAAAATTCCGAATTTCATAAAGGTTCAAATTAATTGTTTGACAAACAACTTTTGATGACAATAACTTGTATCATTTATCTATTAATAATTGTTTTAGGAGTACATAAGTGAGTTCATTTTAATATTTATTATAACACGTCTAATATATCAATAAACTCCTATTTTGAATAACTGATATCAAATAATATAGAATTTATAGATGATCTATGTAATCAAATCAAAATAAACTTTATTGTGTGATAGAGATAACGCTTTACGTGTGTAATTATTTGAATTAAACAATAATTAAATATATAAAAGAATTAAAGGTTAAATCCTACAATTTAATTATTGTTTTTTTTTTAGATAGTTATGTAAAATCAATTATAAAGAAAATCGTGAAATTAATTCAAACTTACGCTCTATAAATTTAACAAATAACTTTACTGATAGTTTACTATTGAAACGAATGAACACTAAATGTTGTTGTACCCAAGATTTTATCTAAATCTCTCTAAAATTTCGTGAATACTGTCAAAAATTCTAATAAAATTTGAATATACTTAGGTATAACTATTTTGTTATACCTAAGTATATTCGTAAATTATAAATTTCTGTAATTACTGATGATATACCATGTCGATACATGGGCATTAACATGGTATTTCGTCAGTAATTCAACGCCGGCGTTATCCTGTGTTATCTCTCACCTTTTGAAACGTTGATGTCACTTTAACGATCATTACGTCTGCCCACTGCAATGATGTTTGTATTAACACATTACGAATTTACAATGCAACTAGACTATGAAATATTTTTCATGGGTTACCACACAATAAAATGAATTATGTTCGAGTAAATTTTAAAATTTAAAACCACTAAGCAACACTGTAAAACTTCACGAACGACAACAAAGCCTATTGTTTAAATCATTCTTGTTTATAACATGACGGAAAGTGTCCATATATATCCACAGATTTTTATGGGATGCTAGTAAATATTGCATCGGACACACGATTTACTCTACATTAGGTCAGATTTTATAGGATCGATCACTTGGAAGAGAGTAGATACGTTGACATTTATTTTACATGTAGATTTTAAGGATGCAGATTGTCCGTGTGTTAGATTTAAGTAAGAAGAAAGGGAGCCGTGTGAGCCCTGGAATCGACCGGGCATCCTGCCGCGCCACTGAGCCTCCTCGCGCGACTCCCGGCGACCACGGCGCCGCGCATGCGTCTCGCGCGCCACCTACCACACGCCACTAGCACGCCGTCATTCTACAGCGCGGCGTAACATCATTCTACAATCTTTGCTACTGCTAGCCGATGCACACGTGCGATCAGTGAGCGATGTCGCAATCTAAACGGGACCTACGCGATTCTAAATCTCTAAAAATACCTAAAAAAAAAGAAACCAGACCTAAAAATCAATCATGGTTTTATTTATTACACTTCATGCAAAATATACATTGGCGGACTTAATGTCTAAGGCATTCTCTACCAGTCAACCAAAATTTTAATAATGTTTATATAATGTTTATAGTAAAAAAAATCGCACACCTAATTGTTAACAACCGATCTTTGAAACAGTTGGTTGCGGAAAAAGCACTTTAATGGAATATCTAGTTAGGTATGTCAGGAAGTAATCTGACGTCACGAAGATATTACTTTGGAGTGCCAGGGAGTGCGGCGAAGCTCGCTTCTTATTTTATTAACGCCAATAACGTACGTAAAGCGGCGAATAACACTGATCCGCAAAGCTCAAGGAAGCTAGTATAATTCATTGGGTTAGATTTCGTACCTCTATTAACAAATGCTTGTAGACTCAAATTTTTTTCAACAAGTAAGTTTAATGTATGAAGAATGAACATCTTAAACTTTATGCCAATGTTAAAAGACAGCTCTCTCTCTCTCACGATCACACACTTAACCTTATGCTGTCGTTTGAGCAATTAAAATTTTCTGTACACATTTTATGTCTCATTTCGGTTAATATGTTTTGATACGTGACTTATTATTGTCGAGCAATACCAATATACTATCGACTCTAATGATAGTCTAGCTACGTTAGAACTCTTCGTACCCTTCCCGTAGCAAGGGCTGAGCTAGCTTGGATAACACTGCTGGAGTTAAAGACCGAGACACCTGTGCATATCCCCAACGGCGGAATATAATACACCATATGAAACAGGATGAGTCGCGTGGTTGCTCTACGGGTTTTAGCACTCTAGGTGCCTTATTATCAGGTCGAACTCCCATTTACTTATCTTTTCTGAAGCACCTTTTGTAATAAAACAAGCACTTAGGCGACAATTATCATATGTTTATTATTTTCTGAACTGAAATAGCAATTATTGTCATGATATAAAATTTTATAAATGAATTATGATAGACGAAGGCAAACATTTCCTAGTAAAAATGGACTAAATCACAAAAATAATGTTATAATAATGTTCATATAATATATCTATCTACTTACATACTATTCCAACAATTACCTAAACAATGATTTACAACAGATTAATTTACGTTATCACACCGCAGCGTAATCCCGACCAATGGATTAATTGGAAAAGCGATATTTTTTTTATTGCTTAGATGGGTGGACGAGCTCACAGCCCACCTGGTGTTAAGTGGTTACTGGAGCCCATAGACATCTACAACGTAAATGCGCCACCCATCTTGAGATATAAGTTCTAAGATCTCAGTACAGTTACAACGCCTGCCCCACCCTTCAAACCAAAACGCATTACTGCTTCACGACAGAAATAGTGGTACCTACCCGCGCGGACTCACAAGAAAACACATCATTCTCACTTTATGAATTTTAAATAAACGTATCCCTGTTGTGTGTGTCTACAAACAGACGATACGTTCAGTAAAGGCACCGACGATGGTGATGTCGTCGGCGAGTGCGGCGCGCATGAGTTGCGGCGCCGTCGCGTCCCGCACCCGCAGCGTGAACTCGCGCCGCGCCACCGCCGGCAGCACTCCCCCCGCCGCGCGTAGCACGCGAGCCCTCTCCGCCGCGTCCAACGCCTGTCCCTCCTCACCGCCACCCAGCACCTTGCGTCGACAAAGCATTCTGCAAGCTTCTTTCTCAGCCTCATACAGCTCTCTTACAGCTATCTCAAACGTTCGGCGCGCGTCGACACCTCCCACCGACGCGCTACTTCCTATCGCCCCTTCTTGGGTAGCTCTCAACGCTCCTGCTCGTATAATCGCGGGAAGTAATAATTCTGCCACTCCGCTAACCGTGCGGGATCGTAGAAAATGTAGAATCTGTTCCGCTTCCCGAGTTTCATCGAAAAGTCGTCTCTGTCGCGAGGCCGGTACCGGACGAGCAACGTTCCAAGCTTCAACCCAAGGATTTCCGGGCAGGAGCATTCGTTCACCTAAGGCACCTCCATCATCAGACTTCCAGTCTCGTGGGGAATACCAACGAACGAAATCGCATAATTCTGCACCAGGGTTCGCCGCTTTGAACGCTTCCATATCCGAGAGAAGTGAAGCACTCATCATTCGAGCTCGCAGCTCGGAAGCCTTTGCATCGTCTCCCAAGCGCACCATTAACTCGGCGTCCTCTTCTAATTGATCTTCAGTCTTCGGAGCTGGATCCTGGAATAAATTTATTTTCTTTATATTCGATATTAATAACAATGGCATCCAATCTCATCTGCCATCATTTTGAACTCAGTAATTAAATTTCAATATTTCAATATCTTGTGTCGAAAGATCACAGTGTGACCCTTTATGCTCGTGTGATTTTATCCACCTGATGCTGAAAAGGTTTTATTGATAACCATCGCCACGCGAACCGATGCATAACATTTCATAGTGAATAGACTCCTTTAGTACTACAATGAGTGTTTTTTTCCTGATATCTTTTTGGACCTATTCAAACTAAATTTCAATTTTCATTTTAGTTTTCAATCCATTAATTTTATCTGTGAATACAAACAATAAGATTTCAGGTTGTACAATGAGAGAGCATATTTTATTGAACACCAAAACATAATTAACATTAAATCAGTCGACAGGCAGGTATAATTTGTATAATAGACATTAAACAATGCTTCGTATGATTATTTTTTTGCTGTCATCTTATAATGAATAATAAATGATCAAAAATGTTCATCAAAGATAACAATTTACACTGTTTTTTTTATTATAGAAACAAAACTGTTCTTTTTTAAATTTAGTAAATATTGCAAAAGAAGAAATGAATTTTTTTTTAGCATAAATGAAGGCAATCAAAATTTACTTGTGTTCGGGGTACATATAGCGGCGCGCCATTTTTCAGTGTGGCTTCACCGAGTCGATGCAGTCTGCCGACAGGCCGATCCCAGGGAGGTTGCTCCTCTGCTCCTTCGCCTTCTGAGCAGTCGAAGAACTCTTCCTCAGAAGAATGACCGGTTGTGTTAACGTTACCTTCCATGGTACGTTTGATGCAGCAGTTGAGAAGTTGTAGTTTTTGATGAAGTAAGCATGTGCGCGCATTAGGTGTGCCTTCTGCAATGCTGCCAATAATGAAAAACTTTTTTTTTTTTTCAATAATTATGACATTTAGTTTATATAATTAGGGCACAATGGACTAATGTCGTGGTCGTTAAAATAATAACATGTCGCTTGTCCGGCAAGCTAGGTGGGTGGACCAACTCAAGGAGGTGACTGGAGGCCAGATACCCCTGTATCTGGCCTCCAGTCGGTACATATGGCGCAGAACCGGACCGAGTGGAGAAGATTGACATACAGTCACGATCCTCAGCATTGAGGGAACGACCAGAAAGAAAGGAAGCCCGGAAGAATACTGTATTAAGTAAAAATTTGGTGGTAACTGATTCAATAATAAAGTCCCACTAAAAATTTAACCTCTTCCTTTTGAATAAGGTAAAAAATCTCTTACTCAAAAAACTCTTACATATTATGTATATGAACTAAGTGAAATATTTTTATCGGCTATATATCCCGGTGCCATAACATGGAAGCTAGAATCCACTCTAAGCCTTACGGAACAGATTATGATGTCTCATTTTTTTGTTTTCGAAGATAGACTAGGCTGCAGCCTATTAGATTATTAATGGTTTTCGTCGCTTATAAACATCAGCAATAACAAAGGAACAGCAAAAGCCCTCCTAAACCTTATAACGTGTTTTAATTATCGTTTGGAAAGACACCATGAAACAGCGTTCCGGGAAAACTGTGAATTCATTCCAGAAGTGAATGGTAGCAAACGCGAGAAAGATTATGCGTTAATTAAAATGATGAAAACAGTACAGAGTTGATAGTTAATAAAGTAATTTTGCGCTATTGGCGGGTAGTGCGATAAAAAGGAAATGATCCCCTCATCTCAAACATTTGATTTGATTGGATTCTTGAATCCGGAACGCATCGTATAGTACCAATGCGTACGAGCATACCACTATTCATATCAACCAGGAATTAGGCAGAATTTTTGGTTGGAGAATAAGATGAGCATACTAATAGATACTAAGGACGGATGAAAAAGAAATAGTATGTAGTAGCATCGAGGGTCGCATACCCACGCTTATTCACTAATACCTAGAGTGACTGTCACCATGTAAAATTCTCTGAGCTTTGTAAGGTGACACATTACATAAACTTTTGGCGTTGCTGATATTCATGTTATTACAATAAATCCGAGTCCAAAAGTCTTTTGGCAAAGTAAATTGCAATCTTTATTAAGATATTTAGGTATTATTTCTCCATAGGTAGTATAGTATTTAATTTAAAAATTCACCGCTAGTTTACGATACCTGGTAACGTACGAAAGAAATGTCAATGGCGCACATTGACCTACTCGCTGTAAATTATTAGGAGGCATTTCGGTGAACAATACCACGTGACTTTTGGTGCCTTCAGTATGAAATGGCCGAAAACTACCGATTTACAATACGGATTATTGACCTAGAACCGAATTCTTGGATCTAATATTCGAGCCTATGAATTTTTAATAAAATGCTTAAATTAAAATAGGAATGTAAATTTTCTCCTCATTCACAAACAAAAACTTGTCGCGTAACGGCATTTTCGAAGTTTTACTTTCACTTGTCTATAATATTAGCTATACAAAATATGTGTGTCCCAAAAAAATTTAAACTAGATGCGTGTAAGTGGAATCGTAGGCCAGAGTAAGCGGAGATCGTTACTCTTGAGTGTTCCGACAAAATGAGAAGCAAGCACTTTTTGATTACAACATGGGAAGAAGCCATAGCTCACACCTGCTGCCAGCCGTTGGCATTTGAATTATTCAGCTTGAATTTGTGTGTCGTGACACAGAAACGCTGAGAACAGAGAGTAAACGAGACGACGCCGGATCGCGCTCGTAGAACCGTTATCACATTGAATTACGAATACGCATCTGCTATCTGAGCGCAAAGTACCACATGAGCTCAAGGGCGGATCCAGCTTTGGCGCCAGGAGGGGGTCACATAGTCAAATTTAGATGCGTTCGTTCCCAAACGTTTGCCATTATACAAAGTTATTATATTATATTAAATTAATGAAATATTGAAGGTATGTAGTTACATAAAATCTGTATGGTGACAAAATATAAAATAAAATCATTATATTCAATTAGTGGTCCACCTAAGTCCTGGAACCAGCTCAGGGGGTGGTCATGACCCCCATGACCCCCCCCTGGATCCGCCATTGCATGAGCTGCTTCTCGATGTTCGCCATGTAATCGGACGGTGAACCGTTTGTTTACCGGAGCCGGTGCGGCAGCAACTGGGTGTAGGTCAGGAAATTATGGTGGGGCTGCTGTGCCGACCATCAGTCCACAGTAGTCGAGTGTCCCGAGCGCATCCGTCGCGAAAGCATGGACTGTCCGTATCAAAGAACATTTCGTTTGTTTTGTTGAGAGCTATATAAAGTGAACTTTCTGTAGTGATTTAATTATGAGAAGTTAAGGGTGATTATCAAGAGTAAATACTACTTACTGGGATTCCGAGCGTATCAGTGTGATTTAGTGGAAGATATTATAAAGTTTTGCAAAGTGGTAGGCGGAATTTAGCCCACCATGGTGAGTTTTTTTTAATTGATTTTAAAATTTGATCGATAAACAGTAAAGCACGGAAGAAACCTCGTCGCGTACATTGACCTACTTGTAACGAATTATTGTACAGAGTCTCTATCGACCGTCACGGGTAATAACCTAGCTTTTATAATTACTACAGAATCGCACAAGAGTATTTTCTTTAGTTATCGAGACAGGAAGTCCAATTATGATAAATGTTAATATAAAAATTAGTATGACATACGCAACTGTTCTAACTGTTAGTAAAATTTCAGGACGGTTCAGCTGTGTGAACTTAAACTTAAATATCGACGTTAAAGCTAATAATAATAAAGCTTTCGTAGTGTCTCTGCAGACTGTACTGTCAACTTAAAGTAATTTCAATTTAATACTTATATTACAATACTAATATTATACGCAGTGTATGCGTACAAAACCGCGCAATGTAAGTAATATTTTTGAGTCAGCTGACGCTGTTCGTTTATATGTATGTATGTCACCTGTAGAATGATCTCGCGAGAAGCGACATGACACAGCGAGCCTGCATGTGAATATGTCAACCAAAAAAACTTTCTCCGATCAATAAAATTCAGCTATTTAGAAACAACACCAATCTGAAAATGAAAAGTCACTCTACACATTTCAAATCAAATGAATATGTATGTGATACGAATAATTATATTCATTAACATTACAATTATTAGATCGTTGCGTTCTGATAGTTTTTTCATTAAATCAGTCTATTGGCTTATACTTCATTTATACTAAAAATTGTATTCAAATGTAAGAAAAATTAAAAACCATTTTAAAAAACACGCTTTGTGCATGTACTAAAAATCTAAAGAAAACAAACTCGATTAACAACCTTGCTATAAAAATTTCTTTAGTTCTTTGTAAATTTTCCAGGTTCGTGATCATAGGATCATATTACTGAAATATCACAAGATTTACGCCTAGATTTATGCTAGTTATAATACAAAGTTCCATAAGAATATAATTATAGGCCGATTAAATTTTAATTCAGAAATTCCATTACCATTAGCGGTAGGCAGCGGCTTGGCTCTGCCCCTGACATTGCTGAAGTCCATGGGCGACGGTAACCACTCACCATCAGGTGGGCCGTATGCTCGTCTGCCTACAAAGGCAATAAAAAAAAAACTTATGCATGCCAATAAAAAAACATACATACAGATTAGGTTAACAATACAAACAACAATTAGAATTGAGACCCACGTAAAGAAATATTCCGGTAGTTTTCTGAAAGTTACGAACGACTTTAAATTCACTACGCTCTTTGGAACATCACAAAATGTTGATAATTTTTTTATATCTTACTTTTTCATTACACAACCACGGAAGTTTTATCGTGAAATAAGTATTTTAAATTATGTTATGATTATCTCTGTATTCATACATTATTTATAATCTGCATGTAAATTAGTTATTAAAGGTTAAATAATTCAACAAAACGATACTATAGTAGTCAAAATATGCGGTAGGTACAAAACTTATTTTAATTTATATCTCGTTATACCTACTCGTATTTATGTCAAAATTAGTCAAACCCGGCCGATTGCTGACTTGCTGACCGATCTTCGATTTGGCTTAGATTCGATTGCTTACAAGCTCCACGGGCCACCCGCCAGGCCAATCTGAAGATTCCCTGAACATTTCATAAAAATCGGTGCAGTCGTTTCGAAGTGAACTTACACACAACAATCTATATCGACGCTTGAAAGGCAAACGTGACTAAGCGCCAATAACTGCTTTGTACATAAATGATAGGCAATAACCATATTCGATGCGCAAAAAAATATATTTCTAGGTCTATTAAAATCATTTCAATCCTACAGCTACTAGCTAGATTCTACTACAGCTAGATTCGTTAAAATAATTTTTTTTTCAGGTATTTCAACTTTTAATTTGTCTACTGTAAAGTTCACGCATTGTCGCTTAGTCACGTTTGCCTTTCAAGCGTCGATATATACTAGTGGTCCCGCAGTGGTCGAATTTCGACTATAATTAATTGAAATTGTACACTATTATGATTCTATTTTCAAAGAATATTATACTTCTATAATCACAAATTTTGCCAAGACTACACTATAGAGAAATTTTAATAAAGACAAACAATATTTAATCTATTCTCAATTTGACCACAGACGTCAAGAACAAAAGTTTGACAATAAATAAATAGTATGCATGCGTGTGTGTGTCAAATACATGGTAGTGTGTGTAATGTTTTTTTTGTTGATTGATTGTATTTTTTAGGCATAATTTAAAACAATATTAACATTCTGCACTCCTTCTCTATATTCTCTGTAAGTCTGGGAAATTTCATACTCCTCCGTCCGCGCAATTTTCGTAAAAAGGGATACAAAGTTTTTCCTTCACGTATTAACATATAGATTATAGATAAAATAAAAATAACTATTCCTTCCACTGTTGTTGTATCATCGAGGTGCTTTAATGATAATCTTG